AGACCAGCCGGCTTGTCTTTTTTCCCTCAAAGTTCAACCATCGCTATCATACCACGTCCAGTACTATACCATGTAAATCATGAGCGCTAAAACTCCCTCAAATTAACTCCTCCTGACAACCACTCTAACGACTGGGGCATACTACACCCATCTACAGCAGTAGGTCGGCCCCATGGACAGATCTTACGGCACCCTGAGGTGTTCTGAGGAAACAACGCTACCCCTGGCACTCTACATAGCCCGAGGCTCTTCGCTCACACTACACGCCCCGTCATACATGGCATGTGTGAGTCGTTGTATCCCACTAGTATCATCTAGACTTTAGCTAGACATGAAACACCCAGACGCCCGTCGTTGAGATTAATGGCACTAATTGGCGCCGGTCCTCACCTGCCGCCACACAAAATGACCACTCCCTTTGTGGGACTAGGCAAACCGTTCAACGCCTTAGTTTTTGGTTCCTGTTTGTTCACGATGAGATAGAACTCACTCGCAGCGATTGTAGCTGAACTTGGGGGACAACTTAGCTGTCGGCCATCCTGTTGAGACTTGTCTTCTATCGACTGGCGTAACACATGTGGTCATATTTGGTCATTCATTTATTGTGTTCTACCCGGCGGCTTATTCCAGAGTTGTTGTGCGGATGAAGGTGAAATGGAGGCGAATTGTTGAATGAAGCAAGAAAGATCGGATCGGAAGAGCAGCGGAGCGAAGGAGCTGATAGAGCGCGAGGTCAGCATCTTTGGTGAAAGCCGGATGTATTATCTCACTAGACGCCACGACGGGCTCCCAATACAACTAGCCTCGACATAAGAAAATGCCCCAGACCAGCCGGAACCTACTATCGAAATGCCAAGACCATAACACAATTTTACCACACTTCTATCTCTATCTACCGCTGATCAGCCAGCATGCCCTCCACCCATCAAAGTCAGGGTAACTCACAGGTATATTTATTCACTCATTTGATCTAGTGATAGCTACGAGATACAACTTTCCCATGCGATGGGGCGGAGGCGGGATAGAGGGAGGCAGGGTTTCAAAGGGGGGAAGGAGATATGAGAGCGCGAGGGGTAAAAAGAAGGGCGGAGTGTGTTGAAACGAGGGTAGCGGATTACAGCAAGTAGTTGGTAATCGAGAGCCAGCCCCAAACGAGCGCGCCGGAGAGGATGGGGAGGGTAAGGTTATCATCAACCCCAAGATCTAAAAAACCCATCAGCCCCCACTCTACCAGCACCCACCACAAAAAAGACTCACCAAGCGCCTCAACAACAGCTCCCCCAACACCCACAACAAGCCCCGTCACCCACAACCCCCAATACCCATGCCCAAAGTCTTCCACATCCAACATCGTCCACTTCCCCCCGCTCCCATTCCACCAAAACGCAGTGCCGATCAAGAAGCCCGTGACGGAGGCAGCGAGGAAGCCGGCAAGAGACTTGCGGGGCGCGAAGGGGAGGAGACGGATACCGGGGAAATGCGCTGGGAGGGGAGGGGTGTAGCGGCCCCAGAGACGGCCGATGGTGGAGGCGGTGGTGTCGGACCATGAGAGGCTGCAGACGCGTCAGTAAAGATACCTGAATGCGATGGAAGGACTCACGTCAAGATCGCAACCACGGCGACATCTCGAGGGTACAGCACCAACACCCATATGACACCAATCAAGTACCACACCACCCCGTTGATCTTATCTCTCTCGCTCTCGCGCATCAAGAAGCCAGCGACCATCTCCCATACTTCTGCAAAGGCGGGGTATCGAAGACGGAAAAAGTCGGTGATGGAGACGCCGACGAGGAGTGCTGTAAGTACTTTGACGAGGGGGCCGACAGAGGGGGGGTCAAGATACCACAGGAAAAGAGTGACGAAGCCTGCAAAAAGGTCAGCATTGCCGAACAAAAAAGACAAGGGGGGGAGACGTACCTATAGAAGAATGGAACGTCTTTCGCGGTATCTCCCAATCCACAACCTTCGTAGGCGTCACCCCAGGACTAGGCTTCCGTTTGACACTACTACTCCTTCGCCTCCGCGTGACTATAGGCTTGTCGCCGGTGCCCGTTTGCGTCGACAGGGCCGGGGGAGGAAAGGACTCTTCGGAAATGGGCGAAGCGGGCGCGTCGGCATCGGGGATGGTGGACAGATGGGATAAGGAATCTATTGATTGGGATTTCGAGGGTCTGGCGGCTCTGGAGGGGTTCTTTCGCTGCCTGGTGCCATTGCTGAAGCCTTCCGCCTCGCTCGAGCCATCGCCATTTATGCTTTTGCCTTGGCCCCCACCAGGCGCGCTGCCTATAGAGGCCTCGAGGGGATGAATGCCGTTGGCGATAAATGACATGTTGAGGTTGACTGTGGTATCAGCTGAGTGGTAGAGATACGAGGAAGAGATAGGCGTCGAAGGATGATCGCGTGCGCGGGGTGGAGTTGCGTGATGGGAGACTGCTGGCGTGATTCGACGGGGCGCGTGGGTTGGCTTGTCGATGGAGCGGGGATGCCGTGCACGGACAGTTTTCGCGTCCGAGTATGCGTATGGAGAGGAGAGAGAAGATGAAGCTGAAAAAAAGAGGGCGTGCACAACAACAACTGCTTGAGCTCGGCGTATTTGATTCCGCGACACGTAATTTCGTGCCCGACACGTGAGAGATCAGTGCCCGAAGTATGGGACTCGGCGAGGGGCTCGATGGGACTCGGCGTACATGGTGCTAGAAGAGCGGAAGGTTAGGAATAGATACCAAGCTGAAAGGGGTAGGACGAAGCATAATATTACATTCTCAGTCAGGCAATCGTAGACGTCGGCGTTGAAGAAGATGGGCTAGATGCCAAAGAGCCATCGCCATTACATGCAAGTATTTGCCAGCATACTACATACGGAACAGAGCAACATATCCACTGAAACCACCTTACTGCGCCTCTCCCTCAGCGGCCAAAGCAATACCAACAGCGCCCGCGACTTGCACATCACCACCTTCCTTGACTTCCTCGACGGCAGCGGCATCCGTGGCGGTAGCGTTGTCGGTGGAGGTAGAAGCGGCAGGGGCGGGATAGACGGGAGGGGGCTTGCAGATGTCTTCGCCGAACGTACGAAGAGACAAGATACTGCAAGAGAGTCAGCTTCCATCACTCGATCTCGACGGGTCACTCACGACTTCTCTCGCTTGTCGATCATCAAGCTCATACTGATTTTCGCCTTCCAAATCGGCAAATACAACGGCAACCTCAACTCTCCCCCAGGCAACTTTCTCTCCTCATCCGCCTCCACCGTCCCAGGCTCAAACACCACCACCCCAGCACCAGAATCTCTACCCTCAATCTCAGCCTTCCATTCGGGACGGAACCGGTCGATGGCGGGATAGTGGTCGACAAGAAGGTTGCGGAGCTCGTCGAGGGTGGCGCGTACAAGAATACCATCGCCGAGGTGGGGGAGCAGCTCGAGAACGCCGTCGACGGGGGGTCGCCATTTGCAAGAGATGTCGGTGTTCTTGGACTCTTTTGAATCCTGGCGAGTGAAGGACTTGACACCGGCAGAGATGATTCGGAGACGAGTGTAGTCGTTGTTCAACAAGATTTGCTACACAGACGTCAGTATATGCGTCGCAAATGAAAAGAAGGGCTGACCTTGACAATCTCGTTGGTGAGGTACATCGTTCTGTGAGGAGTACCGTACTCGTTTCGAACGAGTAAGTGGTTCTTGGGGAACGTGTCCTTGAACTGGAACCTGGTACTAAGATACCCCATCAGCGCCACACCTCTCGAACGACTTGCCCGAGATGACTCACATGATAGCCTTCACCTCCTCGTGCTCCGGGTCGACATAAGAATACGGGTCCTCCTTGAACGTCACGTCTCTCTTCTCCTTCTTCGCCGGCGCTTCCTTCTTCTTCTCTTCGACAGCGGGCTCGGCGGCAGCGGCAGCGGTGGCGGAGGCAGGGGCATCGGCGACAGGGGCATCTTCACGAGGGCGCTTGGTGTCGGCTTGCTCAAGGGAAGGGCTCGCCTCACGCTTGAGAGAGGAAGAAGCGGCGGCAGATCCAGAGGCGGCACCGGCGGCTCGTTCGATGACGGCGACGAAGAAACCGCCAGTGTTCTGGTCGTGGGGGAGGAGTCGCATACTAACCACCCTTTAGCTTGTAATCTTACAGAGAGAGAAGCGACGTACCTTCGCTCAAGATGAATATCTTCCACATTCGCAGGCGGCCACAAACTCTTCGGCAACGTCTTGCCCTTCTCCCCCCTCTCCTTCTCCTTCCCACTCTCCAACGCCTCCTTATACCCCTCAAACGTCTCATACCACACCAACTCCCCATCCTTACCCCCAGGCTGGGTCGCAACCTTCCACTTGTTCATACCCGGGCGGCGCTTGAGCTCGGGGAGCTGGGAGGAGACGTCGACGAGGGAGAAGGAGGGGTTGTTGTTGAGGGCGGCGCAGAGGACGGATTCGTCTTCGGCGGGGTTGAGGGAGCAGGTAGAGTAGACGAGGCGGCCGCCCGGTTTCAGGAGGGCCATAGCACGCTCAAGGATACGGAGTTGGAGACTGGGAGATGTCAGCGATACGTTTTCGAAAGAGGGGAGAATGAAGGCTTACGGGTGGAGAGAGTTGCCGTCGGCGACACCCCACTTGCTCCAGATCTCAATGTTCTTTCGCATAGTACCGTCACCACTGCATCTGTGAGAAGAGTCAGTAAGAGCAAATATGAGGATAGAAAGACATGCGGGACGTCGGCGAGGATACGGTCGAACAAGAGCTTCTGGTTGTCGCCGAGCTTGATCTGGGGGAAGATGGCTACTCCTCGTCAGACGGTATACTCGGAGAAGGGGAGACTCACAGGCATCAAAGTTGGTCACCATCAGACCCTTGCTAGGCATTCTGCCGGTCTGATGGACAAGCATATGCGTACGCTTGTAGTCCGAGTCGTTGGCGATGAGAAGACCGGTAGAGGTGGTGTGGTGAGGGTTGAGCGCTTCGATGATTTGAGCAGTCTTGGAGCCGGGGGCGGCACACATGTCGAGACACTGCATCATGTCAGCTTATCCACAGAAAGAGAGGGAAAAGCTCACGTGGTGATGAGACTCGACGTCCAAGAAGAGAGGAGGGATCATCGACACCGCCTCCTGCCTGCTCAAATTCCCAACCTCCGTCTCTCCCACCAAAAACCTCTGAAAGTTTTTGAAAGGCTCCGTTTTTCGGACAACACGCTTGGGGGCGGAGACTGTCCATCCGAGGCCGGCGGGGTACCACGAGATCTGGGCGGGGGGGTCGTAGACGGTCCCCTCGAATTCGACGTTGTGCATTTTGGGGACGTAGACGGTCTTGATGATATCGTTGATCGTCTCAGCATGGCTAGATACTAATCAGTAGGCATAAAGATAGCCAAGATGACACTCACGCTCGAGAGCCAGTCACACGGAAAGTCAAAGGCAACTCCTGCTTCACAGTCTCCATGAATTGCGGCCACTCCTCGGGCGTCATGATGTTCATCTCCTAATTCTTCATCAGCACTCGCCCTCGATCGAAAGGGACGCGCTTACCTGGTAGTAGGCCTCAAAGGCCTTGTTCGACTTCTCAGCGCTGGTTAAATTGACCCAATCGCCGCGGCCGCTGTTGCTGGGGTCGTCCCTATGGCCGGCCTTGCTGCCTCCTCGTCCGCCGCGCTACAGCAAGAGTCAGTCGTGCCCCTTGCAGGGTACCTATATACGCACTCCGTTTTTCTTGCCGCCTCTTGGTCGTCCCATATTGATAGTGAGAGTATGTAAAGTATAGCGTGGATTTGTTTACAAGAGCGCAAAAACAAACCAGAGGATATGAGCGCAAAAATAATTGATTCCGTCGGAGCCCCGCAACCATCGACAGAAGGCAGAAGTTGACGTATCTGTATGGGCAGTGAATATTTGATTGGAGAAAGAGGACATTGGTTTGAGTCATTAGCATAATATTATTGAGTAGTCTACGGGCAGACAATCAATCGAGATGGAGACGATAGATCAATGATGAGGGAGCAGAAAGGACGGTTTCATGGACAAAAACGAAGCAGAAATGAATTATTTCCCCTCGGCGCCTCATACTTTACTCCTTAGGAGCAGCCTTCTCGGACTTCTTCTCAAGGATGGCTGTCGGCCTTGTACGCGGCGCTGTCCTTTTCGGCACGAGTTATGTCGGCGGCGGCCTTCTTGTAGTAGGGCTAAGACACATGTCAGGCGGTGCGCGAGAAAGACAAGAAAGACAAGAAAGACAAGAGAGAGGAGAAGAGGAAGAAAGACACACCTCCTTCTCGCTATCGCTCATCTCCTTCCACCTGAGACCCAAAAGCTTGCCGACATGATCAAAGGTAGCGCCGGGGTATTCGGCCATGATGCGCTCTCGGTTGTCTTGGTCAAAGAACATGTAGGCGGAGAGGGCTCTGGTGTAAGATGTCAGCTGATGTGTGAGGGATGGGAATGGGTCGGGGATGGGGATGGGAAAGATTGGGGGAGGGGAGACTGACTGCTTGGGCTTGTTGGGGTCCATCTTCTCGCGCTTCTGCTTGGGGGCAGCCTTCTTGACTTCCTTCTTGTCGGCGGCGGCTGTGAGCATTGCTACTAGAGGGTAGGTGTCAGCCTATCGAGGATATAAGAGATGAGATGCCGTTGACGCGTATGCAAATCGACGGGGGGCTGAGGTGATGGGTGGATGGGTGGATGTTGAAGGATGAGCGCGCGGAACAGGCAGAGAGGATGACGCGCGGCTGGGATGCATTCCCGCCCCCCCGCCGCCCTTCCCACGCTCCACCCTGCCCCCCTCTACGCCCCCCTCGCTACTGGGACCACCCATCCACCCGCCGACGACGGCGCAACCACCGGCAGCACCAGGCATGTCCGCAGGACCGTGGCTGCCGAGACGAGTCAACATCACCCAGCAGCAGCCAGCCAGCCAGCAGCCTGGGGGTGGGCGCCCTGATAGAGCGTCTTCTGGGAGGTGGATGCATGGCTCCGGCGTGGGAGACGGGCAGGGGAAAGGGGGCGAGAATACGCGTAAAAGCAAGCTCTGGGGTAGACGGCGGGGGGTAACTCACTGGTGGATGGATCTGGGTGGGTGGGTGGCGGGGGAAGGCTGTTTGGTGGGAAGAAGCCTTTGGCTGGGGGGCCGCCCATCATTATAGGGTGTCGGCGTTGGCATGGTGGTCCACCTCACAATTGTCTGTGATTACGTACGGCATAGGCGTGCATCGCGAAGGTTATTAAAAGCAGGCGGCCCGGAGAATTTGATCTGCACCCCTGGCCAGTGCCTTTGTCGCCCGCAAAGGCTTAGTAAGCACCGAGCTCGAAGGCGGTGCTGGTATAGCTCATCCGCCGGGGTAGGTGGATGGAGGTTATAGCCAGATGGCGGCAAGATGTGGGGTCGACGCGGACGTCGGAGGTGGAGGTTTGGGTGTTTGGTTCGGGTGTTTGGTCAAGTGGCGACAGCCACGTGACAGCTTCTAACTTCACCGCGCCCTTGCTTAGGGGTCTATGGAACACAAAGCCAATAGCAGTAACCTGCAGGCCTAATGTCTGTGCATGTTCATGAGTCAATTTTGAGCCAATTGAAACGATGAACCCTCCCTCCTCCTGCCTCGTCATCGTGATCGGGATCGTCATCATCATCGTCGACCCTTCACTATCCGAGTATGGAGGAGAGGATGATGAAATAGTACGACACTAGCCATAACGCCGACTATCAGTATCAATCACTGTGCGTGGGAGGGTATCAAACTCTGCAATTGACCCACCAAAACGTCCATCTCTTGCTCGGAATCACTTTCGTAAAGTGTATGAAGCGCATCTTCTGCCTGATCAATGTCTGATACATGTGGGGTTGATGAGCATCCTGCTTTTCTGTACCAGCTACACATCTGAGGCTGTCAGTATTGACGCGAAAAATATTAGAGAAGCAATGGCCCGCATCATGAGGCTCCTCACGTTGCTTCTGGCAGCTCTTCCTCAGCTCAGCAGCCGCTTTCTCCTCCTGGTTTCCCTGGCCTCGTCGATCTCTTTTGAGAGCCTTCGGTTGTACTCCTCTTCTTCTGACGGTGTATCAGCTAGCCCCTCCGCTTTAGCGACGAGGGCGTCAAAAGTGGACATCGAGGACCCAGAAGAAGAGTAGTTGTCGCTGTAGCGGCCACGAGAGGGAGCAGGAGCCATATCGGGAGTGTAGAGGCGTAGCTGAAGAAACAAAGTGAGATCAATAGATCCGATAAAGACATCAAGAGAGCACTGTACATGGCCTTCTGTTTTGGGATGAAGAGGGTGGTAATTGTCACGCCTGGAGAGTGCCCTTGGCGTGCTGAAGAGAGTTTTGTTGTAAGGGGCAACAACCTTTTCGTTATTGTCGCATACGAGGAACTATGAAAGAAGACTCTGATCTATATATACGGAATTACGGAGAGCACGGTCCACTAAACACACAACTAAATGAACAAACTACACAGATGACCCTATAACCATGACAGTAATACTCTGAGGCAGCGTTATGAGCTACTTTCCCGTCGGCGACAGTTTCTGAGAGATACAGCAGCTATCGGCTGGGTACAGAACGATATGCTGGCAACCGTGGACAGCCATGGATTGCTCACTAAACAAAGCCAAGAGGGCAAGATGATACATACATATATAAGTGTTACCCAAGACAACAGATAGATTAGCCCAACATGACCGCAGATCCAATCTCTATCAAGATCTCTCGCCACATACAAGCCTCGTCGTCCATCCCCTCGTCCATTCTCCTCCAACACTCTTCTGACACTTTCTCCACCACGTAGAGCTCGTATGCGCACTGGTATATGAATGATTTGATTATCTCCCGGGCGCGTTGGCGCTGGGAAGGGGCGTAAAGGACTGTGCAGGCGATGAGAAGGGGCTAACGAGAAAGTCAGTACTAATCAGGATCGGAGGGGGGGGGGAGTCGGACGTACCCAGTTCATATACTCCACTTTCGGCCCTACATCCGCGCAGATATCCAGCGCCTCCACAGCATACTTCTGCACCACCTCCTCCTCCCGTCTCCTCCCCAGCAGCTCCCGATGCACCATGATCTGCACCCCCACCCAAAGCGCCAAACTCCCGTCCCTCGTCCTTTTATCCGTGATAGTCGGCAGAACGTCTCTCCTCCATGCTTCGAGGTCGGTGCAGAGCTTGATTATACGCTGTGGAAGCTCTGGCCTGTGGGTGGGGGTGGACGAGGGAGAGGGAGGGGTGATGTACTTGGAGCGGAGGCAGGCTTCGAAGAGGATGTTGTTGGCGCGAACGGTAAGTTTGACGATACTGCGATGGTACCCGGTACTACTCTCGACCGACTACAGACCGCATCAGCATCATACAGAATGGCAAAATAGTAGCTTACATCGAGCCCGGATGAATCTTGACTTTGCAGCTTCTCCCACCAATCCGAAGACTCCGTAATCACAACACAAGGATCGCCCGTTGTCATCGAGGCTAAACGAGCCAGTCAGTACGCCTACCATGAACGACCAGGCGACCACAGAGACTCACCTAGCAGATCCACAAGCACCAGGAACTCGATCAAACAGACTCGAAGAGGGAGCGGAGGCTCTGGTCCGCGGTCACCGAATAGAATCGCATCGCATCCACCTCGAAACCGAACAGAAGCATGGGCAAGTCGTAAGGCCTCGCGCCATCTCGGCTGGGCACCTAGCAGCTATCACAAGATATCAGATTATGATAAGAGAGAGCTGGAGGAGTGGAAGGGAGGAGAAGGACGTACATCGGCACCCATGACCATCATACTCGCCGCCAGAAACGTATCCGATCTCAACTCCACCGGGACATGCTGCGCCATCCTCAATAATCTGATAGCTTCGTTTCTATAGCTGATTCCCAGGCGACAGGTATGTCCATGAGTGTCGGGCGCGCTTCCCTTGTCTTCTAATCTAGACAAGTAAATCAGTATTCCATCAAGCGAGCGAAAGGCAAGTACTTACGAAGCGAGATGTACTGCGCCGACGGCAAGCAGTGCTAGTCTCAAAGCACCAGTACACAGAGGCGTATCCCCGGAGGCGAAGAGAAGGAGAGGGATGACGTGGTCGAGCCATGGGTTGGGATCTTCGTGTACGACAAAAGTGGAGAGTGTGTACGTGAAGCAGTGATGGAACTGTCCGACGTATAAGCTTGGGCATACGAGCATGGACGAGCACTTACACATCTGAGATCATCCGCCACCGGAAACGCCTCCTTCAAAAACTCTGGCGGATCCACAGGCCCACTAAAGAATTGCCCCATCCTCGTATCCCGACACAGCGCCATCAACAGATCAAACGGATCCATCGCCCTAATCTTTTGCAGCGGCGCATCATTCGTGGGCGTTCCATGATGAGACTGATGTGCCATGTGCGATGGATGGGAATGATGGGATGCGGACGACGGTACGCTACGAGGGGTGGGGGATGGTTCTGGCTGAAGCTGAAGCTGGATCTCGGATCGCGGTCTACTTTGGGCGGACGCGAAAGATTCGGCGAGCGGGCTGGAATGATGTCGTTTGTGCAGCTTTTCAGCGACCTCTTGGGAGTCGAATGTCTTTCTCTCCGGGTACACACACTCCCGGATAATCAGCCTGTGCGCAGAAGAACTTGGAAGGGAGACATACCTCGGCGCCGTACTTGATACACCTCTCGCATTCGGGTTTACCTAAAGTACATCTTGTCAGATACCACTCCCAAGCTCTCTAGAGCACCCACCTGTATCACACTTGACCCTTCGACTCCTACAAACAAGACACCCATTCTTCGACCTACGCCCCCAATCAGTACAACCTCCAAAGTCGACGCAAAGGGAAAGACCTTACCTAGTCACTTTCGTCTTCTTCGTCCCAGGAGCTAGCATCTCCGAACTCGTCTCATGCTGGGCATCTGCGTCACCCATGAATCCAGTAGGGCGGCGATGTATTGAACGGTACCTGCGGCGAAGGGAAAGAAGCAAGAGAGAGAAAGCAATCGAGACTCCTGCTCGAGATTGGCTCGAGATTAACGCAGGTCGGAACGGGATCAAAATGCCGCCGGCTCTGGTCGTTGTTTGGTTCGGGGCTTGGCGATCAAAGTAAAGAAAAACATCACAAAGTATAGCGCCTTTGCCGGGTGGGGGTGACATGGCGCTTTGAGTGATCTCTAATGAGTCTGATTGAATGGTCGGGAAGACTGTTTGACGTCTTCTCGGAATCGTGAGTGCGTTAGACGTCCCAGATTACTATGGAATCTCAGACCCGGCGTCGTCCCATGACATATTGCATAGCACATAAGAGCAGAGCACAATACTGATACAACATTTTATTTACATTTCCAACGCCTTTAACATTAACCTAGATCCCAAGAAGAAAAGACCAAACCCAAAAACCCGCCTCATCCCAAAATAACAGCATACCCCATCTCCATCAATATCTCCTGCCACGAACAAGCCTCCTCATCCATCCCCGCATCAATCCTCCTCCAACACTCTTCCGACACCGTTCCCAGTATATCGAGCTCGTAGGAGCATTGGTATACGAATGCTTTGATAACGTCCCGGGCACGGTCGCGTTCGAGGTCGCGGTAGAAGACGGAGGAGGCTATGAGGAATGGCTGTAGCGTGGCGTCAGTCAGCTGTTTTTGAAGGGGTGATTGACAGGAAGGGATGACCAGAGGAAGATGAAGAAGAAGAAGAGGGAAGAGGAAGAAGAAGAAAAGACGTACCCAATTCATAAACTCAATCTTCGGCCCCACCCCCACACAGATATCCATCACCTCCACCGCATGCCTCTGCACCCCCTCATCCTCCCTCCCCCTCCCCAACAGTCCCCTCTCGACCATAATCCCCACCGCATGCCACATCGCCAAACTCCCATCATGCGTCCGCTTATCCCCTATCCCTGGCAATACACCCACGCGCCACGCGTCGAGGTCGGCGCAGAGCTGGAATATGCGGGGGCGCAGGTCAGGGCGGGAGGTGGGGAGGAAGGGGAAGGAGAAGGGGGCGGCGGGGGAGAGGGCGATGTGGTGCGCGAATTGGGAGGATTCGGATATGAGGCTGTGGGTGCGGGAGAGGAGGCGGACGATGCCGCGGTGGAGGCCAATACACTGCTCAAACGTCTACTTTCGGTCAGCTTTGCTTTTGGAAGACCAAGAGAAGGGGAGGGGAGCTTACATCGGGGATAGAAGGGTCGTCACTATGGAGTTTCTCCCACCAAGTTGCCGTCTCCGTGATGACCACCCACGGCTGATTCGTCGTCAACGCCGCTATCAAGCCCATCAGCAAAGTCGTAACAATATCTCGAAAGTATGTAGAGTGAACTCACCAAACATATCGGTAAGCACCATATACTCTACCAAACACACTTTCAAAGGAGTCGGCCGATGCGTCCCCCGCGGCCCAAACAGAAGCACCTCCATACCCCCCCGAGATCGGACAGCCAAATGCGAAAGTCTAACCGGTTCGCGCCACCTCGGATGGGCTCCCAGTAGCTACAGTAAACAACATGTCAGCCATAATCAATAGACGGAATAGAAACAAGAGACAGACATCAGCGCCTGTAAGCGTGCCCGTCGCAGCGATGAACGAATCCGACTGCAGCTCTGCCGGTACATGCTGAGCCATACGCAAGAGTTTGACGGCTTCGTCTCGGTATTTGAACCCCAGATCGCGGGTGTAGCCGCTCGTATCCGGAGAACTGCCCTTCTCCTCCAGCCTAGCTGCTGTCAGTACTTGCAGAACAGGGTATGGGGAGGAAGAAAGGAAAAGACTCACGAAGCTAGGTGGACGGCGCCCGTAGCTAGTATAGCATTTCGCAATGCCCCAGTACTCAGAGGTGTTTCTCCAGACGCGAATAGTAAGAGAGGGATGACATGGTCGATGAAGGGGTTGTAGTCTTCGTGAGTGACGAATATTGATAGCGTATAGGTAAAGCAATGATGAAACTGGACAATAATATGTCAGCGACGCACGACCAGAAAACAGAGAAACTTGCACATCTCAAATCATCTGCCACCGGGAACGCCTCCTTCAAGAAATCCGGCGGATCCACAGGTCCCGAAAAGAACTGCCCCATCCTCGTATCCCGGCACAACGCCATCAACAGCTCAAACGGGTCCAAAGCTCGCACCTTTGCCAGCGGCGTATTACCGCTGCCTGATGATCTGTAAAATGCATTGATGGAGGCGGAAGAGTGGTCATTGATGGGGTTGATGGAAGGGCGGGTGGGTTCATCGGTGCGGTCTTGGGGGGAGATGGATATGCTCGAGTTGGAAGGGCCCGCAGAACCGGGCGGGTCGGAACGATGTCTTTTCCGGAGTTTCTCTGCTACTTTGGTGGAATCGAACGGCTTCTTCTCCGGATAGACGCACTGCAAGGTGGGTGTCAGCGTGTTGCGGAGTTGGACCGGACCACCTCCGCCGCTGAATGGTCCCTCCGCCCGGGATTAGTCGCCTCCGCCTCCCCCCCGCCCGCCCAACCCTCAAGATTGTCGCTCCGCTCCGAGAGTACGCTCCCTCCGGTCGCTGTGCCGCCCACCCACCCCAACATCTACTCGCTCGCGTTCCTCGCTCGGCCCCCATCTCACCCCCTTCCCAAAGAACATGTCACATACCTCCGCGCCATACTTGATGCACCTCGCGCATTCCGGTTTGCCTGTTCGCGGTCAATTCGGCAACTCTGCACTCCGCCAAGGCAAACTCACCGACATCGCACTTGACCCGCCGACTCCTGCATACGAGACACCCATTCCTAGAGCTACATCCCCGTCAGTGCTGTACATGACTACTCCAGCTCCGACGCACCGAGTGGTCTTTGTCTTCTTGCCCGCGGGGGCCGAGTCTGCGATGCCCTGGGTGTCTGTGTCGGGCGGTTGGTTTGCCGTGGGTGGTGCCATGCGGAGAGGGACAGGAGGAGTCGGGTGGTGCGTCGGGCGATGCAGTACTATAGGGGAGGATGAAAAGAAGGGCGGTTCATTCCCATGGACAACAGGGGCAGGTGCTGGTCGGGCGGGATCAAATTGCTGCATCAACAAACAATCTTGCAAACAATCCATGCGCGACTGTCTTTGCATTTGCTTTGCATCGTCACTCATCATGGCACCTAGCCTTACGGGCGCCGACCAAACCACTTCTCCGCCCTTCTTCGACAGCCGGCCCTTGCGAGCGATAGAAACCAACACCTCCAGCCCCTTTGACCCGTGGAAGCACCGCAGAGTGCCCAGGGCGAGGGATGTTGCGACAGGGTGGCATACAGAGGTGGACATGCTGCGGGCGAAAGCTTCCAGCCATACCGCCCCATCTCTCAACTCTCCCCGCCTCTTCGCTCCTCGTGGACAGTCGCTCGACGTCGTGTACACACCCTCCCACCCTGTGCAGCCATGGATGTGGACCCATAGTGTCTCAAGCGAAGTAAGTGCTCATAACATACCACACTATCTGAACACTGATTATCTTCAGACATACCGAGCCCCTCACATGCTACACACCGCCATCCAAACCTCCTTCCCACACCGCTCATCCCTCCTCGCCACACCCATGTCTCATCCACCCACCTCACAATCAGCCACCACCTCCCCCGCAAACCGTGCCGGCCTACTCAACCCTCAACCCGCCTACTCCACGTCTTCCCGCCCCAAGAGCCGACCCCCCTCGCGCACGTCTACGCCTTCTTCGTACGGACGCCTCTCGCAAAAACGTACTCAACCCCAGCCCATAAACAATACATATCCCCACAACCTCAAGACATCCACCTCTCGCCCCAGCACCAAACCTACCAAGCCCACCAAGCCCACCAAGCCCACCCCCTCAATACCCCCAAGGTTCACCAGACCAGAGCCCGAAAAGGAGATTACAGTGGAACGAAACCTTGAAGCAGTCGAGCTGGTTTTGGGGAGGATGGAAGACGGGTCTATGGATGGAGGTGGGCTACTTGCGCCGCCGGCTATCCCCTCTCACGAGGGGTACGCTTCCCGTCGTCCTACTCCTATTTCCATCCCCACCCCTCTCTCCCCATACGCACCCTCCTTCTCCTTCCCCTTCCCCCCCTCCTCCCCCGCCCTTTCCCAAATCTCCACAACCCTATACGAACTCGCCAACCCCTCTCTCGAAATCTTTCAAGCGCTCAAGAAGAAAGAGATACTCGGCCCGCGGGAAGACGGAGGTAGTTTCGATCCCTGGAAACATCGCTTCCAAGACGGGCAGGGGAAGGGGAGGAGGAAAGGTGGGAGAGTGGAGGATCCGAGGGGCGTTCGGTCCGGGTGGGGCTTTGGGGGAGGGGGGTGGAGGGAGATGGCTATTGATGAGGGGATGGAGCTGGGTGATGGGGATGAGGATGCACATGCGGTTGAAGATATTAATTAGAAAATGGCGATGCTGAGAATGGTACGAGTAGCTTGTAACTTGTCATTTGTCATCCGAACATGTAACCCTTGTCAAATGATGAACGTCAGACGTCCCCACGACAGATCTTCCACCTCAACATCATCAGCCATCGCAGAATAAGAGAACATCGAAATCGGAGGCGAAGACTGAGATACTTGTAGGGCGGCTGCTATGCTGGTGTGGACGTTGATATTCGTCAAGTCGCAATCGACAGAAATGCAAGCGCAAGATTTCATCGGCGTCGCCACGAAGATCAGTCAACGTGTCCGCGTCGAAAGGTGATTTCCGTAAGATCACAGCGAGGGATGTTCCCGGTTGAGGAGACCACTATACAACCGCGTCGAATATGACATACATAATGGCAGCAAAGCACAGCCAGGGATCTGTCTGCTTGTCAAGATCGGTACACTATCCACCAGCGTCATCCCAGGCCAAACATCCTCCTGTGCCCCACGCGAGTAGAGTATCAGTCAACGTGATACGCTGCCAAGTGAGCAGACACTAATCACCTCTTGTGCGTCAATCTTAGCTCTAGGACGAACTCGAGAAGTAAAATGTTCGTTCACATCAATGACAGTGCGATTTACTCAACACAAAGAATGAAAAATCGACAGTCGCTTGAATTAAAGCGCGAAAACTGCATACATCTAGATTCATGGACATCCGTAAGCACGTCGGCCTCATCGTCGGAGCGACCTACCGCCACATGTCGTGCCGTGATAGATCACGGAGGTGGCTCTGGTCCATGGACGCGCTGTTTCGATAATGTATTATGCAGGGATGATACTAATAGTAGAGGACCTGAGGTGGATGCGCTGGGCGGGGTACGGTTTGGCGGCGAGATGGGTGGCAGAAGAGGTGGAGTATGAGTTGATGATGAAATCTCGCGCTAGGAAGATGATGAGATGGGTGAGAATGGTGATGACGAGAGGGATGGTGGCTTGTCAACCGCCAAACGTCTCATCCAACATGCACAATTGCTCGACTTTGACACTATGACTCATCACGGAGTGAGCAAGGAACCCCGGTTATTGGAGGTACTGTTAGCTGAGTCAGGTGTGCTTGTTTAAGTGTCGCGCTTGGTTCTGAGCGCGGCGACAGACAAAATATTACGTTGTGCCCGCCGCTGCAACCATCGGGCATCTGTCGTACCGAAAATGGGACACAATGTACTACCGCGAGAGATGTATATGTTTATCAGATGTACATCACTATACTTCAAAATCAGCTCAAAGCACCCCGGATAACTGCACATTCAGCCTCTGCGGAGCGTCCTACCGCCATACGCTCTCGAAGCAACTTCAAGCAATCTACGATCCATCTCATAAGCACCGCCCGGCTGTTTAAAGACAATACTCTGACATACTGTTGACACCCTGCTTCGTATATGCGAGTGTAGGGAAAACGCAAAGATTGGGAGGCCAAAAGAGGGCGGGACGGCGGGATGATAACAAGCAGACGAGAAGGGAGACGGGCAGGAATGTTGGTTCATACGCTGTCGTACTCGAAGAGCCTCTCACCATCTTATTCTTCGCTCAAAGATGCATTGAACAGCTCATCTTTTGCATTGTGAGGAAATAGAGAGTGACTAGTGCGGCTGCTACACGATTTACCTTCCATTCATAATAAATTCGTCTTTCTTCTGGTTTACCTCTCGACCTCTGGTTCTTTTGTATCCGCTCATCACTCGGCTTCTAGAACATGAAAGAACGCATTACAGTCATACCAGTACCTACATTCAGGCCTAGCCATTCATCCTAGACAGCACCGTTCAAGAGCTCAACGTTGATAGACTTCGAGAGCGCCTCATATTCATGCTGGCTGGAACGACCCTGTGCGATGCGTGTCTGCAGCAACTTATTTCGCTCTAGAGGCGAAATGATAAGCGAATCTGCTCAGAAAAGTAGGATGATTCAATAACTCACCGTCAACATATCGCCTCTCCTCCTCTCTCATTGCCGCCTTCAAAGTACACATCCTTTCATTCCCCAACGACTGCTCCATCGCCAAGACTCCCCACCATCCCATTTGCTCTTGCATCCAGATAAGCCTTTCCACTCCTGGCTCTGACTGGTTGCAGCTTTCCTTCGTTCCTGGACACAGTACTTGGGACCACATATCAAAGCCAACGACCACAAGAGGAGCATCAAACCGACACCCAGTGTGATGCCAAAGACAAACTCCCACCACGGGAGCGCATCTCTGCCGTCGTCGGCACTCGACATGATCATAACCACCAGCGTGGACGCAAAGACGAAGGGTGGAAATGAGTGGGTCTCATCCACGTAGAAAGAAGTCTCTCGGAAGAGAGGGAAGCTAGTGGGCGGGAGCGGGACCGGATAAAATTGTGCCGGGGGGAAACAATGAAATTCGTGCTTTTCGTTCTTCTTGTCGACTACAACTACCCATCAGCCACAGTGATAGCAAAAAAGACGACTTGCTTACCAAAGTCTACAGGTACCGCACGGTTATACATGAACTGTGCCGCGTTCCCTTCGTCTCCGTCCATCAACGCTACCTTCATACTACTTTCCGCCACCTTCTGCACGTGTCTGTCCAACCAAAATTTTACACCCGCGGCCAGTCCACCGGCCAGAGCACAGACAACTCCAAATATAATCTCCATGAACATCATTCTCTTGCTCCCCCAAAAAATGACGGGCAAACTATATAGAACAGCCATAGCAAAGTACATCTCCGCAGGGAAGATTGCCCGAGCCCAGCCGGTGTTTAGCTTGCGCTGTTCTCGGAGCCAAATGTCGATCTTGTCGTGCCCCGTGCCGCGAGGCGGGATGTCTTGTGCGTCAAGCGTTCTGGCGTTCTGGCCAGTGCTTCCAGAGGTGCCCTGCTTGATGAGCGGGGTTGTCTCTTTGTCGTGGACGATGTCTTGGGTGGTGCGAGGGAGCATTGTAGATGATTGTTGTTTCTCACTGGATGGAAGTGTAGATTGGGATGTGGGAAGGCGGGATGATATCCAGGAAAGTGGGGTGAGAAAAGCGGCAAGGCAAGAATATTTAATAAGTCTGACTGACTTCGTCAGCCGCCATGGATCGTCTGCGTAAGTGTCGAATGACCGTATTCGTGGCATGGAAACGGCATTGCATAAGATTAGGAACGTGATGCAGCACAATCGTTGTATTACCAAGCATGTCTTCTTCTACAGCAGTGACCAAGAGGCGAAGTTGAATGATCAGTTCATCGGCCCGATTCGGCTTGTGCCTCAGTCGGCCACCTCCACTTCCACATTCCACGTCGTCATGCCTCGAAGCCGCCTTAAGGCTTGGTGGCGGCGAGAGAGCTCTTTGTTGGATTTCCTCTTAGAACAACTCAGTAAGTAACGCATCCCAACATCCGCAAGTCCCACTAACGAAGATGGGTACAGTGTTCAGTCTGTTCAAGAGGTCTGTTCCAGCAGCTATGGGTGCCCCAAAATACGTATATAAGATCGTACCACACTCTTCTGTGGACCCTCGGTATGTTCTCCTCTCCATCTCTTCTTCAAGGAGATCAAGCTGACTCGGAAATAGGTTCACATTTCCCGTCCCAATCCCCTCTTCCCACCAATTTCTCCTCCCCCTCGACCTGCAAGACCGATTCATCCACCTCTCTTCCGCTGCTCAAATTCCAAAGACTCTCGGGCTATTCTTCAAGGAGGCAGAGTCGGTGGTGCTGCTGAGGGTGGAGACGGAGAGGATTGGGGCGTGGAAGAAGCTTGAGTGGGTCATGGAGGATCAGGAGAAGAGGACAGGAGGTATGTTCGTTTCATGGACATTTGCTATGTCTCGAAGATACACCATGAGTGCGACTGCGATGGCGGCTGACAAATGGCACAGACATGCCTTACCTCTGTGCGCATGCTTGGCCGGTACCTCTGGAAGGGGAATACGTGGAGAGCTTCAAGGAGGTGCATCGGAAGGGCGGGGATTGGGATGCTGCGCTGGCACAAGGAGATTTGAAGAGTTGGCTGGTGTAGATACATTACTGTCTCTCGTGCACGGCCTGCTTCCAGCTGCTCCTCCCCAACCCCCTAACCCCCTCCATAGCCATTCTGGATCTGCATCTCATCTCGACTGCATCTGGTGTTCGGTGATTGGGCGGCCAGGCACGCCCCTGATCCCCTGTTCTGGCCCGCGTGTTTTGCTCCCGCTTCCTTTGGGTGAGATAAGCTGCACGTGGCACCCCGCTTATCTGTATTCTGCGCATCTCAAAATTTCGCTCTCCACCGAGGCCGTATCTCTCACGATCACTTCCGCTTTCTTTTCTTTTTCTTCTCTTTCTCCTTTTCGATGCATACAAATACCGCAGGGGCACTCTCACTCCCACCCCCCTAGAGCACACCCCCGCCCACCCATCTCCACTGCCCAGCATGATTTCCGCAGAAACCGTCAAACGCCGGGCCACCTCTCGATCCGCCTGGGTCCTTCCCAAAGAAGAGTCGTGTGTCGCCCCCGATGAGGTCTGGAGTAACAAGGGTTAGCCTCTTCCCCACTCCTCCCCCCTCACTGCTCTAGGTGTTGACAACGCTCAGATATGGACCCGGCGCCGATGGAGCATCGTATATGGACATCCTGGACCTTTTTCGCGTACTGGATTTCAGATCTCATCACCCCCGGTGGTTGGGCGACGTCGAGTTCGTTCATCGAGCTTGGACTGACGTGGTGGGAGAGTTGTCTTGCGATGTATGTGGGAGGGTTCTTGGTCGCCATTGTGATTACTTGTGAGTCACATTCTGTTCCGCAGGATTGGAGCGGTGACTGATAAGCTTCGGGCGTGTCTCAGCCAACGGTTACATCGGTGCCAAGGTGAGTGTACAGCGCTGCTTATCCGTCGTGTCCGCTGACCGACTTTTCAGGTGCATACTCCTTTCGCTGTCACTTCTCGATCCGTCTTTGGTTACTGGGGTTCCAAATTTGTCGTTTTCTCGCGTATGTGCACGGCATGCTTCTGGCTCAGTATCAACTCTTGGTCGTGAGTCGTCTCCATCCCACATTTTCAGCATATGCTGACGGAGGGTAGTGGTGGTGTCTTCATCAGTCTCATGATCGAGGCTATCTGGCCATCGTATGCCAACTTGAAGAACTCGATTCCCGCCAGTCAGGGCGCTACCTCTAAGGACTTCCTGTCCTTCTTCCTCTTCTGGTGCGTCCTCTCACTTTACTATACTATCAAAAAACTTACCTTCTGAAGGCTCTTGCAATTCCCATTCATCTTCATCCACCCCTCCAAGCTCAAGTGGGTCTTCAATGTCAAAGCTGCGCTCGTCCCCATCGTCGCTTGTGGAACCCTTATCTGGGTATGTGCCCCCTCTCCAGTCTCCGCTCCATGTTGCTGATGTATAACACAGGCTTGTATCATCGCTTCTCCCAACACCGGCAAGGCTTTGGGTTCCCCAGCGAACAGGGCGGAAGGAGGTACAGCCAGGTTTATGGCGTTCATGTACGCTGTCACTGCCGCTCAATCTACATGGGCTACTCTCAGTACGTCTCCCCTCTTCCCCTTCTTATTCCTATACTGACAAATCTTCAGGTGTCAACATCGGCGACTTCTCCCGATACTGCAAGAAACCCTCGGCGTCCTACATTCAAATGATCGTCTTCCCCCTCCTCTACGCCGGTCTCTCGTTCTTCGCCTCCATCACTGCTTCTTGCGTCGCGTACAAGTATGGAACGGAGAACTCGTATTACCAGCCGTACGACATTGTTGTACGTATTTCTTGCTTCGGATGAGGATAAGGCAGAGCTGACAATTGGGCAGGCGCTTTGGAACACTTCTGCTGGTGGTCGATGTGCTATGTTCCTCGCTTCTTTCGTCTGGTATGTCCATCCCTTCCCCTTCATGGCTTTCCCATACTGACAACTAGGCAGGGCAATGTGCAACGTCACAACCAACATCACCGCCAACTCCATCTCCGCCGCCAACGACATGACCTCCCTCGCCCCCAAATACATCAACATCCGACGCGGCCAATTCATCGCCGTCACCATCGGCGTCTGGGGTTTCGTCCCCTGGAAAGTCCTTGCCACCGCTTCAAACTTTCTCACCTTCATGTCTTCCTACTCGGTCGTCCTTGCGCCGATCGCAGTCATCATGGTTGTCGACTTCTTCTTTGTGAAGAAGCAAAAGTTGAATGTGTATGAGCTTTACAAGCCGAAGGGTATCTATCGATACTCGAAGGGATGGAACTGGAGGGCGTATGTGGCGCTTGCGGTGGCGGTCGCTCCCAACTTGCCGGGTATGGCGAACGCTATCAACGACTCTATCTACATCGGAAACATCAAGTACATTTACATGGTGTCCAACATCTTCGGTAACATTGGTACGTCTCTCTCTCCCCTCCCCTTCCCCTTCATTGAAAGTACTGACCTCGCGTATAGTCGCCTTGACGATCTACCTCCTCCTCAACCGCTTCTTCCCCCCACACTCCGCCATCATCGAGACCGCCGTCCACGACGTCCTCAACGAACCCGAGTACACCCCTTACGACTCTACCTACCCAGTCGCGAAGGAAGAAGCGGAAGTCGGGGTTGAAGCGTGGTCGGCAGCGTCTTCGAAGAATGGGGAGAAGGGATTGGAAGGGGAAACGGATGTGAAGAGTGCCATCTAGTGGGAAAGTTAGTCTCGTGTGATGGAGCGGAGTGCGAGGAGGAGGTGGGGTGTGAAGGTCGAGGAGGAGGAGGGAGGGAGATCTTTCTTTCATTTCGCTTCTCATCTTGTGCTCGGGCTAGGGGTGTGCGTGAAGGATAAACTCAAACGTTGTATACTACCATATCCCCCATACTACTTGCAAACACATCACTCGTAGTTTGGGGACCATCTTTTCTAGTGAATGAACACCATCACTCTTTCGTCGTCGTACATTTGCGCAGGTTTGGGGGCGGCAGCAGCATCGTAGTCACATACATCGGTGTAAGATTGGTATGTTGAGGGAAGAAGGAGAGATGCTGACATCAGGCCCCATTAACAACTTCATTTGCAGCATGCAGTATAGCTACTAGACGGCTACCAAACACCTCCAACTACGCTTCACGCTCACGCTCTTCGAGCAGGGCTTTAGCTGCCTCGCCAACATCATCATCCTGCGTAGCGCACGCCGTGACTTGATCAAGTGTCATCTTCCCGAGAGTCTCAATCCCTTCATAGTGACTGATCACGAGTGCACACTCAGTTGGCCTTTCCCCGTCTCCCTCTCTGGTCTTCCAGACCGCCACCATCGTGCCGGCTGAGGGAGAACGTCGACCATCAGCGGTCCTCTCGGGAATACTGAATTCACTCTTCTTCGGTAACCTCGGCGCTCTTCCCGTCAGCGCGCTATACAGCCTTTGACACCCTTCTTGATACTGCCATTCCAAAGTCTCGACCGTTTGATTGCTGAAAATCCACGTATGTCCGCTGGCGGAGTTTCGACCTCTGACGTCGTAGCTCGTCTCGGTGTTGTTCGGATTGGCGTCACCGGTGCGGGCATACCATTCGATGACCTCGCGGCCTCCATTGGCGTTGTCAAATTCAAAGGTGAAGCAATCGTCTAGGTGGGGGTTCGAGTCTGTAGAATCGACTTCTTCGTTATAGACGTTTGATGATGCCATGTTGAATGAGTGATATTTCGATGGGAAATGTCGCTATGATCTTGAAATCTTGAATCGGGGTAGCGATTTGCACTTATATACCCGTAAGTCAGATATGAATCATGTGTAAGACAATGGTGCAAATCAACACTCCTTTCCGAGCATTCATCTAAGTATATGATGTCTGAACAGAAAGGTCGAATTCGTCTCCTCAAGGGATACATGTGACAGTCTATTCATGCTATCGACTGATCGTGGTTCTCGTTGATACAAAGGACAATACCTGGCACACTTAGTAAATCCCTGAAGTGGCATTGGCGCTGAGCTGCGTGGACGGTTGAAGGACTCTCGGTGTACTTGTACATTCTCAATTCATGTCGTATTGTTCTACTCTTTCCATGCGATAATACCGAAAAGGTCTTTTCCCCTCTAAAAACGCCTTTTCCTGTCCCTTCCCTGCTGCGTCCCAGCTAGGCCGTGACAATACCCCGATGGTTCTTGAGAAGTCGCGTAGAGGCAGTATTGGATCATGGACGCATCCGCAGGAAGTTATTGCTCTAATTCTTCATTCAACAGCCGCGTACCATCGCTCGTATATACACATCAGCTACTCTCTTACGGTACGGTCCATCAGCTACTCTCTTACGGTACGGTCGATGTAAGCATGGTTAAATGTACTTTGCATAGTCAAGTATAGGACAATCCCAGACGTCCTTGTGCGCCTCCACATGAGAGGATAGGACGAGACTCGGATGAGAGCCAAAAATCTAGGGAAGAGCCTTACCCGCACGGATCGCAATCGACACCTGCGAGTTAGCTTCGTCCGTAAAGTACCTATCCGACATGTCAGCCCGTACTCCATAGCCATTAGATAGAGATGAACTTACTTTTCCATAAGCTCGGTGTAGTATTTTGCCTCGGAAGTAGTCTTCTTGACAGACTCGCGCGCTAACACCATCATCAGGTTTCCCATTCTCGTGTTACAAAAGCAGAACAAGACCCACCCAAAATATTCTTCGCATACTCCACCCACTTCTCCCCAACCTCCTTCCCCTCAAAGCCTCTCCTCTCCTCCAACAAAAAGAATCTCCCCACGAACGGCGCCAAACTCCCATCCACCGTCATCCACTGCTCCCCTGCAAAGTACGGTCCTCCTTCCTTGATACGGGCGGTATAAGTCCGGAGGTGGGTGTAGAACTCTCCGCGAGCGACGGATTGGGCGGAAGGGTCTTGGGCTTGGATGATTTTGAAGTAGGCTGGGATGATTTTCTGCGAGGGGCGAGTTAGTGGATGGCGTGATGATTTGAGGTGAGAGAAGAAGGAGAGGAGAAGAGAGACGTACTTTGGTGATGTGCTGGAGGTTCAGCCTGGCCCAAGACTTCTCATAGGGGTCAAGAGGGAAAACAGGACTGCCAATCGTCCTCAGCCATATTCCAGTAATATACTGAAGACAGAGGACGTACGGATGCTCGACACTGGCGGGATAAAGATCCTCCACATACTCCACCAAGACGTCGCTATCAAACAGACCCTTGCTTCCATTTGGGGTCTTACCTCGAGAGTCGGGACGAGACCGAGGGGGTTGAGCTCGAGGAAGCGCGGCTCTTTGTCGTAAGGCTAAATGCACCAGATCAGACACGAACCGTCTGTCACGTGGCTGTCGCCACTCGACCCAGAAATACCTCGAAGCGTCTAGAATCATCCTTGCCACTCTGTTGTCCATTGAAGAAAACACTGGAAGGTCATGGAAAAGGGATACGTAGGCCTGAGGCTGGATATAAATACCCACACTCTTTCATAGCTTTTAGATACTCTGTCGATCAAATATTGTTGTCTCTCTCCAACACAAGCGTCCGTGTCCTCCGGCATTGGCTTGGCTACCTCTCATGGTCCTCAAGTCATTTCGACTCACCTCGACTACTACAAGGGCATCGCTAGAGGTCATGGACCCGTGTGACACCGTCGCGACATGAACAAAACGACAGGGTTAGGACGTACATTGGATTCGTGATACTGATAGGGAATCTTGCGCTCTTCCAGAGCAATCCAGACACGCTGGTTGAAGGGACAAGCCTACGTACGAACGTCAGTCATATTACATCGAAGCATCGTTCCACGTACCCAATGACTCCAGAGGACGAGGTCCTGGGGCTCTTGGTGGGCGTCGACGAGGGCTTTGGCGGGTCCTGTGGCAGTAGTCTGGGGCATCTTGGTGGCTTGATGGGGAGAGAAGAGATAGGGGTTGCATGTATATATATGGTGTGCGCTGCACCACCGAGCGCCGAGTATGACAAAGAGGTGGAGGCAACATGGTGGAGGTGTATGGTGGAGGTGCATGGCACATACCGACGACGGTACCGATGGGACATATTGTTGTGTTCGAGGGTGCCCCCTAGCAGGAGCAGAGGGGGACAGCGTGGGTCCAAGCAGCGTATGTGTAGCTTGAGTGAGATAGTAAGTACGCCTCGTCAGTAGGAAACGTTTTGAGCATGATTGTGAGATCAACAGCGCTAGGAGATTAGATTGTGCCTGATTCCGTGTTCTCCATGCACGTTCGTCCCATGTGCGTCCTGAATCTAGATGCCGCATGCCATTGATTCATCTCGGCTTATATATAGCTCTCTCCTCTCCCGTTCTTGTTTATTGTCGTGCCACATAGAAGTAAAAAGCGTCGATACGGGTGAGTTCCCGCCTGCTTTCCGCGATCGACTAGCTGACAGTACTGACCAGCGACTGAATCAATCTTCCGGGCTGTTTGTTAATAGATTGCCTTCATCCCTCTCTTTCTCATCCCCTGATATCTCTATCCTATACGCCCCATCAATCTTTCAGTAAAGCGTTCCCGCAATGGTGCAGAGACCCGTCCTCGCGGCGTTACTGGCTGGCACCGTTGCCCTCGCCGAGCAGCAGCTTACCTTGGGTCCCAATGCGTACACTGCCCCAGGTGAACTTCCCTCCACCTTCCTTGGCGCATCAGCTTACACCTAGCAGGCGTATTCCCCACCAGCCTCTTTTCCGCATACTATAACGACCCCACCCAAACCGTATCTCAAGCGCAACCTAAAATCACCGACAACATCCTCGTCCGTAGTCCTCCTTCCATCCGTCTTCGTATATACTGACTGTCATCAGAACAAAACGTACCCCCTCAACCTCACCGACCCCGAGTCTATCCCTACCAATGACACTGCTGATCCTCTCCTCTACGCACCTGCCTGGCTTAACGGCAGCGCCGCTACCGACTTGTACGAGAACATCACAGCTCAGATCCAAGGTATCGTCACCGGCGAAGGCGCCAACTGCACCAAATGTATCGATTCTCTTACTGCTGCTAGTACCCTAGCCAAGAAAGCGCCTCAGGTACGCCACTCTCTTATCCAATTGATCGGGCTGACATTCCAATTACAGCACGTACCCGACCTACTCGTCCACCTTTGCAACTACTACTCTTTCACCACCCCCACCAAATGCAACGTCTACTCTGCGAACGCGCAAGGGCCCTTCTATGCTCAAATGCTCGCATACGCCGATGTCGGCGGGTATGATGGGCAGTATCTATGCCAGAATTTCATCACTGCGAGCGAGTGTGAGCGGCCGCCTCTGTACGTTTGACCCTCCAGATTGATACTTCTATTGCTCATGATGTATACTGTAGACCGGAGTTCAAAGGAGAAGATTTTTGGACCAAGCCGAAACCCACCAACGCTACGCCACCTATTCCAAAGGGTACAGACCGTATCAAGATTCTCGTACGTTTTCTCCATTCTGAAGGCAACTTTGACTTGACCAGACCTTCTCTAGCACATGTCCGATTTCCATGTAGACCCTCGATACTCCACCGGATCAGAGTAAGTACCATCTCCTTCCCATCCTCCCTTTCCACCGTCCTGATTGCGAATAACCTACTTTAGGGCAAACTGTACCTCCGGCCTCTGCTGCAGGGCAGATAACCCCATCACCTCCCTCTCCGACAACTACACCATCTCTCTCCCCGCCCCTCGCTTCGGCTCCTTCCTCTGCGACACCCCCTGGTCACTCGCAGCGGCTGCGGTCGAGTCCATCCCTATCCTCACTGGTACAAACGGCAAAGGTGGGGATGTGTTCAACATGACGATCTTCACGGGCGATCTCGTTTCGCACGATCCTTATCAGGAACTGAGTAGGGATTATATCGAGTATACCGAGACTGGTACGTCGTCATCTCCCTTTTCATGATACAAAGCTAACATCTATCATAGCACTATATGATCTTTGGAAACAGACCCTCAACCCCACCACCCCGCTTTACGCCGTCATCGGCAATCACGACTCTTACCAACAAGCCTTCGACGCTCCTTCTACTTTACCGGGCAAGTTGAAGAAGGAGTTCAGCTGGAACTATGAGCATTTGGCGGGACTTTGGAAACATGAAGGATGGATCGACGAAGAGACTTCTGATAAGGTCAAGGCGTAAGTTTACACCTTCCCCTAACACATTGAATCTGAGGCTGACAATATCATCAGCCACTACGGCGCCTACTCTATGCAACACGCCCCCAACCTCAAAATCATCACCCTCAACACCGACCTCTGGTACCGCGCCAACATCTTTGCCTTCATCAACTCTACCCACCCCGATAACTTTGGTTTCCTCCACTTCCTCGCGGACGAGCTTCAATCCGCCGAAGACGCCGGCTCTCGAGCCTACATTGTTGGCCATGTCCTAAGCGGATGGGACGGCTCGAACGCTCTCCCGGGACCGACGGATGTGTTTTACCAGATTGTGGATCGGTATTCGCATGTTATTGCGGGTCTGTTCTGGGGGCATACGCATGAGGATCAGAATATGATCTATTATGGTGGGAATGGGAGTGATATATCGGCGGCGAAGGCGCAGAATGTGGGATGGATTGGTCCGTCGATCACGCCTCTTACCGATAGTAAGCCATCTCATACGCCATAGCTAAAGCTGGGGTACTGATGTTATCATAGTCAACTCTGGCTTTAGACTTTACGAGGTCGATGCAGAGACATGGGATATCCTCGACGCCCACACGTACGTCCCCTTTCTCTCTTCTCCCCTCAGAAGCTTACACAATCACAGCTGGTACTCCAACGTATCCACCTTCCCTTCCCTCGACTCTCAACTCGATTTCGGCCCCTCTTACGCATACGAATACAACACTCGCTCCGCCTACGGCTCCAACATCTCCTGGCCCTCCACCGCCCCTCTCAATGCAACGTGGTGGCACCTCGTCACCGAGCAGATGGAATCGGACGGAGGAAGCTTGGTCAACTTGTACAACGCGCATCAGGGGAAGATGTCGACTTTGAGCCCGAATTGCACGAGTGAGGAATGTATCGAGGCGAAGGTCTGTTATATCAGGGTGAGTTGCTGCTGTCTTGAGCCTTTGAAAGAAGACGAGCTGATAGGGCTGGATGTAGAGTGGATCAGGTCCGTTGGCGATGCAGAACTGTCCTCAGGGTTATGGGAGTGTTCAGTGAAAAGTATAATTTGTCTCGACTGCCCGATGGACTTTGGCCAAAGTAGGAATGATATAATATCGAGAAGCTAGTACACAGAAAACATAGATATAATATCGAGAAGCTTGTACACAAAAGACATACAACATGTATCTGCAGTACGAAAGCTAGCATGCGACAATGATCTATTCAAAAACCTTCGAGCTTTCATTCCACTATCGAATGCCACTTCACTTGAGCGGGTGTCTCCGCGGAATGTGGCTGACGACTCTCTATATATATCCTGTCTCGCTTTCCCATGTCTTCCGCATCTATAACATAAACGTCCGGACTTTAGTCTCTTGATTCGCTATTCCATCTCGAAATACATCGTTGATAACATACATCAACCTCCCTCACTTCACCACCGGTCACACACCGCAACAATCATGTCAGCAGGAGACAACGCCTTGATTGAGAAGATGGATCAACTTGGCGCGGAAGAAGGCAGTCGGAGTGAGTAGAAGAGCCCTACTAAACAATCTAGCCACCTCACTGATGACATTCATCGACTATTGGCTACGAGCAGCAGCAACGTTGGTGGGATAGCAGCATCATCTCTCTCATCCACTGAGACTAGAAGTGCGAAGTCAGAGCGGACCAGTAAGTTTTTGGCTGTTGGCACATTCCTCTACTCTGTGTCGTAAGCACATGCGTATAGAATAATGCTGACCTATCATTAGTTCACACAGCCGACGCTATATCATCATCTCCCATTCTCGAGCAAACGTCTGGCGCCGACGACGAGCTCCCCTCTTCTATACATCCCGATTTCGCAGTCAGGACTGGCAACGTCTTATTGGTCACTGACGACGACGTCGGATTCTTTGTGGACCGGTCCTTTCTGTCGTCTCATCCGGAGTTTTTTCGAGATTTCGAGGAGATGGCCTCGGTCGTTGGGCGAGGGAGCGTGAGCAACATCGGCACCCGCGTAGTGCGCCGGGATTTGCCTGGGGCACTGTCGAACGGTTGACAAGTCGTTCTGTTCATTGCAGGGGAAAATACATGGCAGAATTGTGGCTACGATGGTCAGCGAAAGGTGCTTCATACCAGCGGATGGAGATGGTAATGCGACCTCGAAGGCTTGGCCCTTGCCTTCCAGGTTGGCAACCGGTACGGCTTTACCATATTCTCCTTACAGGCGGCGACGGACCCTCATGCCCCTTTCTGGGTGAAATATCTCTCCGCCGCATTTGAGGATGACGACAAAGCGGCCAAAGCAATGCTAAAAGACATTGTAGGCTTGGCAGTTAGGTACTTGCTCCCCGACATCATATTCATCATTCTAGATAAACAACGCCCTCGATACTCTGCACTGTTCAAGAACGTGCGCAGGCTTAACCCCTTCTGGTCTCGTCCAGATGACTTCGCCTCTGAGCACTACCGTGCCGCGGACAGCCACGCTTTCATCAAAAAGGAGAAGACTGCTTTTGTGCGTAAGCGGAGAGCAGAGCTGGGTGGGAAGCAGTGCATGTGCGGGAATATTGGAGCTTCGTGGATGGCTACTAGCAGGGCTGGTCTCTTAACTGTAAGGTATAACATCTTTAGATACTCCTCGAGCATAGACGACAATCTTCTTTGGGGCGCAATTAGAAAGGGGTTCAAGCAAGCCGTCGATTGTGACCAATGCCGTCCATCCGTAGTTGGCTCTTTCGAAGCGCTGTGGAACGATTTGGCAGCTCAGCGGCTGTGACTGGCTCACGATGAAGGTGCTCTTCAATCTCAAGTATGTAGTCGCCCGATGTACATGTAATGAGCAAACGTAAGTAAATGAACGAATGTAGCTTGACGGGTCAATCACTGCTGGCTCTCTGCCACTCGACGTCGCATCTCTCTTGCCACTGTCTGAATAAAGGTCACTTTACAAGATCCACTTAAAGCACCTACTGGCTACTGCAGACCTGCTGCGTCGCTAACATCGCACTAGTATGTTTGGTCCCGCCCGCCTTCTCGTGAGATCCCACCAACTTTTGTATCTCACCAAGGTCTCTTGCAGCCATAACCACTGTACACCTTATCCGAGATCCAAGTTATTATATATGATAATATAATTCATATCCCGAGACCGTAATCTATGATGAAAAGAAAAGAGAAAATAGTATATTAGATCCCCCAAGACGCAAACACTTAAGCCTTCGTGTCGGTCTTGAGCACCCTCTTCCACACCGGGGTCTTGTTCATCTTCTGCTCGACCTCCCTCCTCATCTCCTCCTCCAGCTCACGCTCATCAAGCTCACCAGAGGCGTACCACACAATGGTGATCATACCCAAGAGAGCAGTGATGATACAGCCAGCGAGGGCACCGATAGCCTTGGGCGTCCAGCCCATCTTGAGAGTGAAGGGACCCCAGGGCTGACCCTTGAAGTCGGTGGTGGAGTAGGTGCCGACGACGTTGCCTTCGGTACCCATACCCTGAGCGGCGCACTGCTCAGTGATCTGGGCGGGGACGTCGTCCTTCTGGTTCTGGAAAACCTCGGGAGCTTCGATGAAGACGACGGCGAGACCGGAAGACAAGTGCCAGTCAATCTACACTCGATCAGCGACCATCCTCTAAGATACAAGGGAAGGGGGACTCACGTGGCAGTGGAACATCCAAGCACCGGGGTTGTCGGCCCTCCATCGAAGAGTGACGGAACCGGTAGGGGGGATGACAATGGTGTCTCGTCGAGCGGGGTTGGACTGGTTCTCGTTGATGGCGGGGTTGACCTCGAGGTCATCGGAAGTGACGTCGAAAGACTTGTGGACGACCTGGAACTCGTGACTGTCGCTCAAAGTCAGCTCCAAATTTATACTCTTGAGGGGATGACGTACCCGTGGAAGTGGAAGGGGTGGAATCCAGCATCCCAGTTATAGACGGTCAACTGAATGACGTCCATGTGCTTGTAGATGATGGCGTTGGTCATGGCACCGTAGACGGCGGTGTTGTTGGCATCGTCACCCATGGTCAAAGCAGTCAACATGGAGGGGGTAGAAGTAGGCATCTGGTAGGTGATGTTGTTGAAAGAAGCTCGGTTGGTTCCGTCGTCGTAAGTCTATCCCAATCGTCAGCTATGATCCGAAAGAGAGAGAAGGGACGTACGTCAAAGTAGGCGTTGAGGACGAGCTCGACATCAGGCTCAGTCAAGAGCTCGACAGCGCGAAGAGGAGTGAGCTCGGTGTCGTTGAAAGTGGTGATGCTGGCAGGAGACCACTCGACAGCAGCATCGTTGGCAGAATCGTAGACGATCTGGATGGTGTTGTTGATCTGAAGGTCGTCGGGGACAGAGTCGTACATGTCGGTGTCTTGCATGAACATCAAAGCGTAGTTCTTGTCGGTAGAGTTCTTGGCCTCAACCCAAATAGAGTATCGCTGGGCAACAGAGACGGTGACAGCGTCCATGAGGTAAGGCTCGACCTCCACACCGTCCATTTCAATGATGTAAAGGTCGTGGTCCTCCATGGCGACCCAGAACACTATTACTCGATTAGCTCGCTATCATCAGAAAAGAGGAAAGGGACGTACTAGCAAGAGAACCCATGTTGACCATGTGAATCCTGTAAGACTTGCCGGCCTCAAAGTTGAGGGAAAAGTTGTCGGAAACGGCAGCACCGGAGATGATGTCATCGTTGGAAGCCATGTAAGAACCGTTGGTCCAAGCACCGTAGATAACAGCGGCGACTAGCGAACAGTCAGCTCTCTTATGGAGGGAAGGAGGGGAGGAGGGACGTACCAGGTACGGGCTCGGCACCGGTGGGGTTCTTCCAGTCAAGGAAGTCTCGCTTCTCAAGCACGGGGTACTCCTCGTTGTACCTATTGTCTCATCAGCTCCTTACCCGCTTCCGACAAGAAGTGAAGAACGTACCAATCAGCCATGACAATAGTAAACTCCTCATCCCAAGTCAAGTCATCAGATCGGCCAGTAGCGTTCTGAGGCTTGATGATAACTGGAGCCCTCAAACCATCCGCGTTCTGACCATCGTGGTGACCGTGAATCCAGTAGGTACCGGTCTGGGTTCCAGTGTTGATGGTGTAGTCGAGGGTGGAGCCGGCGGGGATAGGACATTGGTTGATACCGGTGGCACCGTCGAACCAATTGGTACCGTTAAACATGAAACCGTGCGTGTGAAGGCCGGTACCGACTTCGCCAAGGCCGTTGGTCAAGTGGAGCTTGATCACATCGCCGGAAGTGACGGTAAGTGGGGGAGGGGGCCAGGTGTTGTTGATACCGATGACCCGTCGCTCTTCAAGCTGTGAATCTTGTCAGTAAAGCAGCAAACGAAGGAGAGGGACGTACACCAGCGGGGTTGGCCTGGGAGTAAGTGACGTTCCACCAGTGCTCGACGATAGCCGCCTGGGCGGTGGTGGCAGCGAAGGAGAGGGCAGAAGCCAGCAGCGCTGTCCTTGAGAACATGGTGAAGTAAAACCCGGTGGGTGGGATGAATGTGGGCAAGGCAAGAGAGAGAAAGATGGCGTTTGGATAAATAGATGTGCATGCGCATGGAATCTTGTCCGAAATCTGAATTTTTGCCGAGAGCAGGACAACTTCTAAAAATGCCTCAGGTGCGGCCGAAAGCAGGGAAAGAAAGATGTGAGACCCAGGCACGGGGCTTTATCGGATAACGGAAAATTAATTTCGAGACAGGCATCTCCACCTCTCTTCTTTCATTTGTTCGACCGGACACTGAGATGCGTACCGACACATACAGGAGGTTCCAGTCGACATGCCGCCCTGCCGACCAGAAAGCCAAGAGGAATGCAAGCGAAAAGAAGCGGAGGAGAATGGAAAGAGTCGCTGTTCCTCGGACGGAGATAGAGAACAGGCACTGGCATAACAATTGGCCCAACGGTTATGGCGGTTATGTCGGGTAACCGCTTTGGGCATGAGCTGAGATGTAGTGACCGTGGTGCGTGGAGCGTGGTGTATGGCATGGAGCTGAGTATCAAGATGCATCGCGGCGTGGAGGCGTTCGATCAAGGTTGTCCAGTCATGGGTCGTACGCATAACGCACACCAGGACGATTTTAGCCTTTTTTCTTTGTCTCTCTCTGTCTTTAAGGTCCACTCAAAGCGCCCCCAAACCAAAGGTTTGGGTGGGTAGGGTTGGTTTGTTGGGATATGTTTGGATCCCCCTTGCGCAATGGGTGGGACAGGGGCGGCGCGCCCTGCGGGTGCTTGACATTTGGAAGAAGAAATTAAAGGTGACACCTCCTCGCTAATGGAGACGAGACATGCACCACTTCCGACTTTACCATTCGTTCTTGCTCGCTCCACACTACACTTGTGGCGACTCGTCGGGGCGGGCTCCACATGGCTGTCTGGGTGCCTGGGTGCCGACGTTCTCCACCGCGCTGCCCCGACGAGGAGAGACACCAAAAAGATGCAGCAGGGTAAGTCGCGTGCCTGGCTGTTATCAGATACTGTGCCTCTCTTGCGGGACTGCGCGGACCCGAGATCTCCCTGAGGACGGTCCAAAAATGGCCGTGCCTCGCTGCTTGGCCGTTGAAACGATCTTTGCTGATCTCTTAGCGGGCAAATTTGTGCTCCTCCCCTGCGGCCGAAAGGTATACTTTCAGGCACCCCCTCCATCGCCCGCCCGCAAAGATTCTTTGGCCCTATCGGCTTTACTCGTCAAGAAAAGGCTCAAATCTCAGAAAGTACTTGAACCGCCAGCCTTCTCCCTCATTTTCCTCTTTCTCCTCACCAACACATCTCTTTACATTCCCCACCGAACAAAGTACTCTTGGCCATCATGGCGAAGGACGTCTTCTCGGTCTCCATCTTCTTCATCGTCTTCCGTAAGCCCTCCCTCTCCCACTCTTACTTTTTTCTCACTGACACTTTTACCAGGTGAGACGATTGAAGCCGCCATCATCGTATCAGTCCTGCTCTCGTTCGTCGAGCAGCTGATGCTTACCGGCAACCTTTCCGCCAATGACATGAACAAGAACGAAATCACCGCTCCCAGCGATGGCGAAGCAGAGACGGACGGCTCC